TATGTCTTTATGTATAAGTTATTTATTTATTATATTTATTCGTTCTATTAGTACACACGCAGCTTCGCGACGCACGGATAGTACACGGCTCGTTTCATCTTTCCATTCCCGCCTCTATTTTTTCCGCTTTCTCTTTCTATTCCAGTTTTCACCTCGCTCTCGTCTCGTTTCCTCTACGTCCTCCCGTTTCGTTCTCGTCACTCTGACGCTCGCAAACCTCGAGGATCGTCCGTTCAATGTAAAAAGGGCACTTGATCGAACAGAAAAACGGAAAACGCGAACACCGTCGCTGGGAAGAAAACTAGCTCGTTCGGAAGCGATCGCTTGTCTTTGGATTCGTGGCTGAGAACGCGTCGGAGGTCTTGGACTTCGAATAATACGCTGGGCGGCTGGGGAGATCGTGATGCGACCGAAGAAACGACGAATTTTCACGGAAAGACGAAACAATCGGTGGAAATGTTATTAGTCGCGCAGTGTTCTTAGATTTTGTTGATATCTTCTGTTATGTATATTGAACTTCGCGTAGGACCGTTTGAAACGGTACGCGATGAATTAACATACTATTATAGAATCCTCAACACAATTTGTCTCTTGTTTCATAACACCTAGCTACTGAAATCAATAAGAACAATAAAGTTCCCTTTGCCTCAGTTTCGTCACATTCGCCGATAAAGACTTCCGCAACAACCAAGATTTCCCAGCCATTATCACGGAACCATGATCACGACTGCGGATTCGTAGCTTCCCATAAAATTTAACGAAATCCTCGTTCAACGGTGAACCCAGTAAAATCCTCGGAAGGATTCGTCTCATCTAGAATTATCCTCTAAATATCTATATCTGCACGAGGATCCGCAGTCTAGTCACGACCGTGCGAACCGAGTTTGCGACCAACGAATGGCCGACAGAAGAGTATTTATTATATAATATCGATTATATAACAAACAGTTATATTCCCAGACCTCCTCCGTCGCCCGCGACGTAAAAGTCGAATTCGTAGACGAGAAAACAGTTCATTCGTATGCGTGGGCGATGCGCTTCGGTCGACGCGTTTCGAACGGGGAATAATTACACCTCACTGGTCTGCAGCCTGGAGAATCGTCACACGGAGCTCTCCCTTTTCGCCATCACGATCGGCGTGCTGATCTTCCCGTCCTTCTGTGACTGGATGCAACACTGGCCGGGGATCCTCGCCTCGACGTCCTTCGCGAGCAGACTGCCGCTCGGACAGGTCCTGCCAACAACGCCTAGCCCGCTGTATAGCATTGGTGGACTCATTGTCATCGACATCGATTGGACGCTCTGGCTCGGCCAGTGTTGCCTCGGCAGAGTGCAAACACCGGTCTCGTAGACGTCCCCCACTATTGGCTGAAACTGAAGATGATGACCGTGGATTTAGGGGCTTGAGCGAGCTTCCGAGATCGATTGATTAGCGGTGATGAGCGAACGTTTTAGGGTACCGCTCGGTAAGCCTTGTCTTGTCATAGGGGAGAGTCGTAAATCTAATGTTCTTTGCCAGTGAGAATCGGAGAGCTAATATTCCTTCGAAGGGTTAATATTCTTTGTGGTTTGACGTTGAATGTCTGGGATTTTTTGTAGACTAGAATCCAGAAACTGTCTTCGTAGGGCAGAATTGTGAAGCTAATGTTCCTTGGTAGGAATCGAGAAACTAATATTCTATTTGGGCTAGAATCAGGAAGCTAATGTTTCTTGTAGCTCACAATTAAAAAACTAGCAGTCTTCGTATGGCAGAATTGAGAAGCTAATGTTCCTTGGTAGGAATCGAGAAGCTAATATTCTACGTAGAAATCGGGAATCGGGAATCGGGAATCGAGAATCGGGAAGCTAATATTTCCTGTGGTTCACAATTCGGAAACTAACATTCTTCGTGGAATCGAGAAACTAATATTCTTTATGGGCCAGAATCGAAATGTGTTCCTTTAAATTTACTGCTTTCTGTTGAGGTACTGGGGATAATTTGATAGCTCGTCGAGCATGCACGACGCGTTGAATGATGGAATTCCGGAATATGGCAGGGAAGTTAGGAAACGGGACGTTTGGAGCAGCGTCCGGACGCGGACGAGTTGATGGATGGCAATTAGCGCAAATTGAACTCACGCTTTTATGTTTCGTCGCCAGATTCGAGAACTCATGGAGCGGCATGCCGTTGCGAATGGTGCAATAGCCGACGTAACTGCCGTGACCGCTGACGGAAGTGACCGTCGAGTGTTCCAACAAACTTCTCGACGGCGATGTCTCGATCGTCGAGATCAGGCGTCGCTTCCTCAAGTACTCGGATGGCTCGTCCCCTGCTCGAAAGGATCGGAGGTCAATACCGTTCGAATCAACATACCACTCGATTTTTCTTTTTTCGTTCTCTCTTCAAAACTCGTGAAGAAACAGTGCTAAATATGAAATATTCGATCTACAGAACATATAACCTTTACAATGCCACATTATTTTTGCTTAACTCCTTGCCACATTTTCTTTGCACTCAGCTAACTAATTCACCAGTAATTGCCAAGAAACACAAACAAATGTTTCATTTATTTCAGGTACATACTAACTTTATAGGTACCATTGAAAAAGGCACAACAGTTCTCCCCTTCAATCTACACGCAATGAGTTCTTTTGTTAAATCAATCCGCAAATCTTCGAGTCTCACTCGTCACAATAAAACAAGGGGTTAAACAATACAAGAAACAAATTAGGAAATCACTATAAAATTTCTCGAACGCAAATTACGTAGTTAAAACCCAGCCACTCCTCTATACATCGAGAGTCCTGTCCTTTCCGTGGAAGATAAAAATCTCATTAAATTTTTATAGAGTCCACCTTACTATAATTCCAGATAAAAGAGGATGATATCCGTGGTCTAATGATGAGTATACCCGTCAGAGAATAACGGGAAGTTATTCCAATCGTACGAGCCGGTTTAATTATTCTGCATAATAGAAGGCTCGGCCTTCTGGGCAAGCACAAAAGGCTGCTCCGGCCGGGCAGGATTGAATGAATTAGGAATCAACGAACCGGTGATCTGCTGAGGTATGATGTCCGGGTTCTTTTCGTCGTTTTCGCTTATGTCACCGCTGCTCTCGAGCTTCCGGAAGGGGCTGCTCGGATGTTTTTCGTCCGAGAGCAGACTGCTTGCCTCGCGGAACCTCAGCTCTCGCTGGATCGGGATCGTTTTCGTTTGTTTGTCGTGGTCCTCCATCTGGGACTTGCTCTGCTCGTCGACCTGCGTGTGCTGAATTCTGAGCACGACCATCACGATCACCGCGACAATGATCAGCGCGGTTACCACGCCGATGGTCACGCTCAACATCGGCATCAGCCTGATATTCTGCCGAGGTCTCTCTGAAATTAACCGGAATTCGAATGTCCTCGATAGAAACGATCCTTCGTGATCAAACAAATATATTAACCCTCCGCGGTCGAATGTCGCCGCAATGATTTCGAGCTTCGATATCTAAAATCGAAGTGCAAATGAATAATTTAATTCCTCAACTAACGAGAGATATACGTAGATTTCTCTCTTTTAGCATTTAAGACTTCGATGCATCGTTCGGTTTCTTATTCAAATGTTGGAACTTCGACAGTCTTGCTAAGAGTATACTTCATTATCACTTCTATCCCAATTATCCAACTATCATAATCTCTATAGACGTATCTTACGAAATATCAGGACCAATTTACCAATATCCACCGGTCTACTCTACAGTTCTTGTTATTCACTTCGCCACGAAGAAATACGGAACAATTTCAAAATACCTTCAACAATTTAATCCGTAATAAAGTTATTTAAAACTTGTGTCTATATTATTACATCTATTAAAAGATAGAGAGGCGTAGTAGTATAAAGAGTGGAAACCGCTGCAAAGGCTAAAACTCCATCGAAGCCACCATTCGACTACATTTCGCGATTCAAAGTAGCTCAGAAACGCGTCATAAAGCAAGCATCCAAAATTCTCATCACCGCCAGGAATTCACTGAACTCACCCGACTCGGACGTCAACTGTTTTTCCGGCAGCCTGAGGGTACCGGCCTGCACGACCATCGCCTCGCTGCGCCCTTTATCGTTGTACGCGTAGATGCAGGCCTGGTAAAGGGCGCCCGGATCGAGGTTGGTCACGCTGAAGCTGGGCACGGATGACGTCAGGCTCGCCTTCAAGTCCTGGCTGTTGCTCTCCCTCACCTCCATTAGGAAGGACTGCGGCAGCCCGCCGTTGAACCCTTTCGCGCAACGCACGGAGAACGAGTTCGTCGATGTGTTCGAGGTGGTGCAATTGTGAACCATATCCGGCCGACCTGGCGGCGGATGCGGGGGGTTAATGCAGCCGTTTAAAATGCAGCCCACGCGTAACCCGTTATCGCCGCGCTCGTATGCGCGCCGTATCGCGACGACAATACGCGCGGAACGATCGCGACGAGGACTTATCTACGGCCACGAGCCGCTTCGTTAACCTCCGCGAGCAATTTATCCGAGGAATTCGCTCGAATAAGGTGAATTCCTGTTGTTTCGGATCCCCGATGCCCACCCGGGTCGGTTCTCGGCCGTTAACACCCGGGTCGTTTCGATTCGAGCGACCGTTCGTATTGGTTATGCCCGGGACGCCATTGGGTATAGGGAATTCGCGTTGGTTAACGCTAGAACAAACGCAACTGAGCAAACGACGGGTTATAGTCTTCTTGTTTCGCAACTATTGATATCTGGAAAGCGTTGAATATTTGAAATGACTTGGAAGAGGAATATTATAGCTTCATGTCGGTGTTATTATTCATGTACGACGGAAGCGAAAGTCTGTTGGAATTTCTTTCTAGTGTCGATAGTTTGACAGTGTTTTGTATAGTATTATGGAATAATAGTAATTTGTTACTATGGAATGTTAAATGATATTTAATATCTTAATGTATTGGTAATGTTAATATTCACTAACTTTATTACTATGTTCGGTGAAAGTTCTTTGTGCCATTTGATTTCGTGCATCAAGTATTGCCAATGTGTCAATTGCTTGATAAAATGTTAGTTCATCGGGATGGAGAGTCTAAAGTACTGGTTTCATAATTAGATTTTCGCGTGTCTTGAATGTTCACATGATTTAATAAGTCGAGTTCCAGTAGCGCAGGCTTCCACGAGACGATCGTTCGAAGCTCTTCGACGGCGTCGAAGTTGAAGAGATCAGAAAGAATTTGCAACGCGTCTACGGAATTTACGAGAGTAAGTGCTATCAATAAGGCAGCGGCGAATTCGAGGGGACATGGACAGTCGATATCGATCACGTTCCCGTGTCCTCGTCGCTTCGAATTTATTCAGAATTCTCTGAATAGCGTGTGGAACGTTCCCCGGCGGCCGTGAACGTCTACTTGCTCCGCGCCGCGATAATCTTGGAGCTCCGTGAATCGACGGGGAAACCATTTGAAAGTTAAGAGATGGGAAAATATGAAGGGTTGACTCATTTTAGCCGGGCCGTTAACTTAATAAAAACCCTTCGCAGCGCTAAATGGAGCGAAGGTACGAATACATATAGCGCGGCTGTAATGGAAGTTAATTGAAAATAAAAGAGAATGGTCCGCGTGCCGGCACCATGACGAAGTGTAATTCCATTTAGGATATTAGATTAAAGGCTCGAGCAGTTTGTTCTTCGGTATAGTGCCACTGCAGTTAGGAACGATTCTTCCCTGTCAGTGAGAGGAAACGAGTGCTTGTGTTGATCAAATCGAGAATCTATGGAATTAGACAAGATCGGTAGTTGGGTAAAATAATGTGGGAGCTTATCTATAGTGACGAAGTTGACAGTCCAGTAGCAAAATTGCTTTGGTTAGACTAGTAGTGTAAGTCTTTCAGTATTCAGACAAGTAAATTGAAGAAGGTTAACACTAGAACTACCCAGCACTTGAACCGTTTTTTGAACATTTCTTTATGAAAGCTATAAGCGTGAATTTATTAAGGCTTAGATTGGCTTATATTTCAGTTTAGGTATTCCTAAATCAGCTTCTTTAATTGTTTGTTTAAGTATCTGTACCTTTGTAGTAATTCTATAAGAAGAAATTAGGAATTGGTCATTTTGACCCATTTGATAGTTATGGTATTAATTGAAGTCAAACAGGTTTGATTTATATAAAACTGTTTGTTGAATAAGTAGTGTGAGTCAATAATTATACTGATAAATAGTATAAGGCGACATTTGACCAAAAAAATAGTGTAAATGAGTGAATTATTGGATGAGAAATTGGTAATTTATAAAAGTACACCTGAAGAATCAGTTTTATTTGATTTTTACTATATTATTTTTCAGTCAGTTCCATTTTTCCAAGAAAATCCCATGATACACTTCTGTTTGTATAGAACACGAGAGAATTTTCATCCAAAGTTCACTTCCAATACCTGCCAGTGTGTAATTAGCGAGCGAAAGGGAAGAGAAATACTCTACGTCATCTCTGAAGTGCATACGAAAAAACTATGTCGCACACACAGTGAGAAACTTTTTCAGTATTCGTGAAAAACCAGCACGGACACTCAGGCCCGTGCAACGCCCTTCGCAGGCCCTGTGCACTCATAAATGCTTGTTACAAAAAACATTCATAACTTGATGAAAATATGAAAATATCTTCACTACGAAATTTAATTTCTAACTTATTGCCCTTATTTTTGTAAACTTTATACACCACGTTCAAACCTTTGCTTTGTAATATCGTCTGAATCGTGGCTAACATTTTTAGCTGACAAATGTAAATGCCATTTACCTTGTTTGTATATAAATTAAATACTTCTGTACTATTATCAATCGTTTACCTTCGGAGTGAATCTCGAATATAGAATAAGCGTTAAATTCTGTTCATTTGTCTTTTAAGAAAAATCATCTGGAAAGGGGTTAACGAATGACACCTATCACCCATTTCAAAATTCACCTTTCACTGAAATCTTTTCTTTGACTCTCCTCCCTTTTCTCTGGATGTATGCAAGTTCTCCTTCGACCGTTGAGCTTAATGCTAGCCTTTCGAGAAGACCCGAGTAAATATCTCGTTACTCGAGGCGCGACGTCGAATCGAAACTTGCTAGAGAGAACTTCCACGAACGAAAAGAGCCACGGGGCTGTCTTCACTCGACTAATTTACGCGAACGATCCTCGAGAATGTATCGCGCGCGATTATAATCTATCCAACGAGGCGGGGCAGTAGACATAAACAGAACATTCGCGTGATAAGCAAGTTAACTGTCTAGGACATACTTTAAATCCCTGGTGAACTTTACACCTCTGCGCTCTAATCATTTTCACCATCTATTCTCCATCAACGCTGCCTTAAATCTTCTAGTTCTGATATCCCACGCATTTTGTCGATAAAACTATTTCCCATTGCTTACTAACTCCACGGACTAACTGTATAAACTCTGTCACTGTGGCTCAAGAGTTTCAAGGAAAGATAGTGTCGATAAAAGTGATCTCACAGTGCAAAGCTCTGATACTGTCATTTTCTAACGAAATATTAACGATACATTTTACAAGCTATATACAAATAACGCACGAATCAAGGGGTAGAACTATTCTATTGCAACGTTTCACGTATAATGAAATTATATTAACACTGAAACTACAGGTCAAATTGATCCACTTCAGAATTTTTATTTTGCAAGTATATAAATCATGAAGACGTTTATGCAAGAGATTTTCAATGAAATTTGTGTATTTATACAGATACAAAACTAGGAGACCTCTCGAATCTCATGAAACGTATTATTCTAATTTTTCTAAGAAACTGGAAATGGGACGTTCCAATTGCTCGGTAGCTTTAGAGTTAAATTCGATATTGATATTCTTGCATGATGTAATGATATATTACAGTATATATGTTCAAATTATCAAGGTTTATAATCTTGCTATATCAAACCAAATGATGACTGCGAGTCTCTCGAGTGCAAAAGGTAAACGTAGTCCTTGCATTAGTTGTCACACGTGTTTGTTTACGTTTACTAGCTTTTCTCATTTAACCATAGTCGCGTTTCACAGACTCGTGTTTCGAATGGCCGCGTTCCTCGCGGCGCAAACGATTCGATCGTTCGGACGGATCGCGGCTACCGGTGAAAAAAAAGGTCCATCCGGCCAGAGGCGCACACAGGAAAACGCTCGCGCGCGCGGTAACGAACTTCCATTTTAATCTCCGAACTCCTCGATTCCGCGCGGCGGGATTGTCGCTTTTGAGAAGTCAGCACAGCGCGAACAACTCCGGATTAACATGTCGCGGGAATTTTTTTGTAATTACACCGAAACGCGGAGGTTTCATTTTTGCGTCCCTCTGACCTTCCACTCCAGCCGGTAATTTTTTACCCGGTCGCGTTGCTTACGCGGAAACCTTGCATAGAGAAGAAGAAGAAGTATTACGCGTACCGGCAGCCGATAACTTGGAGTCCAGTTGGACGGTTCAGGAGCAAGAGAGTTCTCGCATTGTGTGTTTTGTTTGTAGTTTTGATACGTCACGCGTAAGTTTGTTGACGAAGAGGAAATTAATATTGTAAATGAAGTGGGTAGTGATCAGTTAGATTTGCAATTCTTAGCTTAGTTAATAAGTGACTTCACAGTAGTACTGTTTGACGATGGCTTGGAGTCTAGCTGGACGGTTCAAGGGCAAGAGAGTTCTTGCATTGCGTGTTTTGTTTATAGTTTTGGTATGTTATGTGTAAGCTTGTTGACGAAGAGGAAATTAATATTGTAAATGAAATAAAGAATGACCAACTAGAGTTGTATTGCTTAGCTCAGGCAATAAGTGACCACGAGACAATCGAACTATGATGATTTGATGTCTAGGAGGACGACACAGAGACAAGAGAATTATAGTTTTGACTGGTTCCGCTTATCGGCGAATATCTACACATTTTGTTACATTGTAGGGAATACATGTTCGTGGCTGGCGTATCGTTGAAACTTTCGTGTCATAAATGAGAGAAGATCTACCGTGGTTCAATGGGAAATTGGCCGGCCGGTTAGCTTGCGGGCGAAACGAAAATCTGCGGGGCTATTTATTATCCCGTGTAGAAGGCTGAGCAACTCGTCGGACAGGTAGAATAAAGAGATGACAAGCTGAAAAGTAGACCAAGACAGTATCTAACTGGACGAGCAGGTCGACGTTCAGCGGAGGATTGAAAAGTTCCTCGAGCAGACAAGTGGAACGGAAGCGTTGCTGGTCTGATAAGGGGGGTTAGTCCCTGCGGGATTACGTGTAAGTAGAATAGATTATCTTACGGCTGAAAGATGAGTAACTGTGTAATTCTACTAACTTCCAGGGAGATCTTGATCCATTCCATTTTTCAGTGTCTCGACTTTTCTATTTCCTTCTGGTGACTAGAATAGTCAGTCAAAGGAAGAAAAAATGCTATCTTGGTATCTTTGGGTAAAAAGTAATAGCAAAATGAAACTTATTCCAAGTTAAATTTCAAACTTATTACAACCCTGTATCTCCACTTAACAGGACAGTTACAAAGAACTCCATTTCAAGTTTCAAGGCGATTTTAAGTTTTTTTGGTTTGCAACTTTGACGCATCTATCGACGTTATTTAACGTTAAAGGTAATCCGAATGGTTTAGTGTGTAGCTAGAAACTTTATCAAAACTATTATTCGTTTCTGAAGACGAAAACATTATCAATGAATTGAATATTAATGATACAAAAGCAACTCAAAGGCAACTCAAAGGCTTAAGGATATAGTTACAAGCTTTATCAAAAGTGTTATTTCATTCTAAAGACGAAAATACTATCAATGAAATGATTATTCGTGATTTAAAGGCAGCTGAAAGACTTTAGGGTATAGCTCCAAGCTTTATCGAAACGGTTATTCGTTTCTATCTGTTTGATAGGCATCGATCGAGGAGGACACAGAGTGTTTCACGGTCGGCGAGGATTTCCATGATCGAATTACCACGTAAAGATACCTCACCGGCCGGTATGATGTGATAGACACAGGGCACTTGTTGATGTCCAATCCGATTGCTCGCCCAGCAGAGCAACGTGCCGTAATCCAATTCGGTCATGGGCGTGTACGAGACGATCGAGGATGTGCCGGCCCGTGCGATATGACCGGCTGCCACGTCGATACTCTCCGCGGAATTGTTGAAGGTCCAACGGAATTGAACCTCGGGCGGGTTCGCGTCCACTTGGCAGGATATGTTTGCCTTTTCTTGTTTTGCCACGCCGTGGACCTTCATTTGGTTCGGCTTGCAGGTCGGTGCAACTGAAATTACAATCCGAATTGTACAAGTTCAAACTTTGAAATATTAACACTAGAATTAATGAGCATTTAATACGATTGATATATAACTCCTATAAGAATCGTAACAATAGATTATTTTCAGTTCCGTCAGGCATTCATTGTAGTATTCAAGCAGAACTACTTATTATCATAATCATTTCGAATATTTAATGCTTTGAAGATATCAGTAATTGCGAAACAAAAAATCCAGTGGTTTTCACTGGTGGTTCTAGTGTTAAAGAATACATGGAGTTGATACACAAGTAAGTTTGAATCGAAATTTTTGGAAACTTTCAAGTAAGTATAATTGTAATTTTGTATAATAATCATTATTATGAAATTTTTGTGTAATAGATATAGGTAAACAATGTAATTTTAATCTAATTTTAACTATATAGTTTCGATTTCTTTGCGCGCCGATCTAATTCTATATTTCTTAATGAACGTTCAAGTGAACAGACAATCGCGATAACTTTCGTCACGGAAAGAATCCTTTCATTAAGCAATTTGCAAGAACAGCTTGTAATTCCCGTTACACGGGTATGATTGCGGAATCAGGTGTCGACTTAAGTGACTAATTATTCAAATGAATCCGACGACAACTCACACGTCACGTTCAGGTAGAACGGTGAACTTTCACCGTGTCCTTCGGTGTTGTAACCGACGCAGGTGTAATTACCCGCGCTTTTACGGTCGACGCCCTGCAGCACCAGGCTCTGATTACTGATAATGATACCCTGCGTGATGTTGTGGTGCAGAGTTTCACCCTGAAACATAATACGACATGCTCGAGTTCATTTCTGGTTCACTTCGATTTAACCAACGCCAATATATCGACTGTTAATTCTTGCGGTGATGCATCGGGTAAATGATATTCCTCTGAGACCATCGCGAAGCAAGAAGATGGGCAGACCTATCACTATAATGAATCACAATTCTTTATTTTCATCCTGTTAAATGAATCACTTTGATCTTTTGATTCAGCGTTTTACGAATGTTGATCTGCTAATGTGTAAATTGAATATTTTCACGAGGCGACATAAACATAATGCAAAAAATATAATATCAAATTATTTAATGTCTTTGACATCATATCAAATTCGTAACGAAGGTTTCGAACAACAATCGTCTTTTAACACTAGAACTACCAGGTGGGTCAAAACGACCAATTCCTAATTTCTTCTTTTAGAATGACTGCAAACGTACAGATACTTCTTTAAGAAATGATTAAAGAAGCTAAATACCTACACTGAAGTATAAATCAATTGAAATGTTAATAAATTCATCCATATAGCTTTTATAAAGACATTTTCAAAAGACGGTTTAAGTGCTCGGTAGTTCCAGTGTTAAATCGTCATTTAACTTAAATTCAAGTATTATTTGTCTACTACCAATTGTCAATCCTTACCGTAAATATAGACATAGAACAACCATGGAATTCTCTATCCCCATTTAATTAACGATAAAACAATCCCAGCCCAATCATAGAAGAAATCACAAAGCAAGGAAGAGCACAATTCAGATTTCGTTCGCTAAAAGTTTCTTCCCATTTCCAATAAAACCAAACTTCTATTCAACACAATACACAACTGCGTCACCGGCAAAATAACATTATTATTCATAACATTCTGCCATTTTTCTAGAAACCTAAGAATGCCGTCCCGATACCGCAAACAACTTTCTACTGAACCTAATGTCTACAAATCCGCGCGCGACGCATGTATCCACGTATAGTTTCCTCTCCAGAAGACACGGCAAGATAGAAGAGAACCCGGCCGTGCGATCGAACTTATTATGGAACTTTGAATACCCCGCCCGCCGGAAGTTTGTTTCCCTTTTTACACTAATAGACTGCCGGTTCTCGGCCAGCGCAGAGCCGCAACAGCGTGGAACTTTCCAGCAGCCGGCACGCCCCGAGGAGCGGGCCGTTTCGGAAACTTTCTGATCCTTGGGAAATAGGCTTTTCTTAAATTGCGGCCGGCACGGTTGCCCGTGAAGCCGTGGGAACGGTAACGAAGGACATAGGTCGGCCCGGGGTAACCCGACGGCCGCGTATTATCTGGTTTCCGCGCGCGCGGACGTCCCGGGGGCAAGTGAAAAAGAGCAACGCAATGAAATAGGATTGTTCTTGGACGGAATAGGAATAGTCTTTGACCGTTCAAAGCGGATTACGATCGTTATTGGTAAGTCAGAAGCGACCGGAACCGTTTGTCACTGATAGAAGTGGAATCCGCTTAGTGTTGGTTGGACGATGTAAAATAGGGACACCGTCTGATTAGGCAACGGACCGTACCTCCGTTCACCAAATTGGAGGAGTATAATGGTCTTTGGGCGATATGGCTTGGTCCGATAACGGAATATGCTAGGAAAAGGACGAAGATCCGTTTCAGTGTGTTCAACGTTCAGTTACGTTTATCGTTGTACCGGGAATGGGACCGTTTCGAGGAAATAGCTGTAACTTAGATGGGAATATCGGGTAGCTTCAAGGAGTATTAGGTGAGTGATGCAGTCAATCATTGGAGATTGAATAACTACGATATTGATTAAATGGAAAAATTCGGGGCAAGTGTGTAATTAATAGTGTAAGTCAGTAATTAAAGGATGACCAGTAGATTTGTATAGTTTGATTTAAATGTACGATCGATGTGGAGAAGGTATCATTATATTCGAAATCGTTTTTAACTGTCGATTACTGATCTCTTGTCGAAGCAACTGTTATATCTACGAATGTTCACTGGTTGAATAGAGCTCAGTGATCTAGGATGGACATTTGTAATCGTGTAATCTAATGAATAGATACTGACAACAGATCTATTATTATTTCATTACTATCTATTCTTCTGTTATCGTACTTTCTTTGCGTATCTATTTTGCTCCTGTTTCGAAATTTTCGTTACAAAGCTTCTCTATAAAAATTTCCGTTTCTCTGTGCCACGATTATAAATAGAATCAATTATTTACCAGGTGCCGCCATTCCACCTTGTACACCGCAGGCTCCGCCTGGATCAGACAGTCGAAGTAAACGTCGGTGCCCTCTCGTATCGCGTTCGGGTTCAAGGAGGCGCCCAGTTGTATCCTGGTCTCCGGTATGTCTGCAAATCGGAAACGTCGATGAGTCGCAGCCTACCGACTGATAGATAATCGTGACAGACCGAACAAGTCAGCCATGGAGTCCCGTCTTTAACTCTTTGCAGTCCTATGTCGAACGCGACCCGACATTGGATTTATTCAAAGGTGTGCTTCTCTGTCGAGACATTTTTAATCGTTTGAATCCTGAGGAACGCTGTAGCGCTCTTGTGTTGTGCCAAAAGTGCAGGCATTGTTTATCAGTATCAATTATAATTTTCTCACTATGTTTTTCAAGAAATTTCTTTGAATAAATTATAATAAATTATTAATACAAGAATTACCTTTTGATATTTGCCTTGTAATAACACAATGTCTGCGATCTAATTAGATAACTACTCTTATTCATCTTTGTTCATACACACCCAATCACTTCCGCATTTTTGGTATATACCTAGAAAATTTGTTTAGCACTCAAACCATGAAATTGTATCCTGCTATTGTACTATTTTCAATAGTGCTGGCAAAAAGAATGGTTTACAATGCTCCCTATCGACTAACTGATTTACAAGATATATTTCGAATAGAACACTTAGTATAGTTAGAGGGCGAAAGGTTAACCTTTCAACTACAGCTCGCCAATGATAGCTATGCAGATTGCTGCCTATTCTAAAGTAATCGGGCATTGGGAGATCCTATGACTCTAAAATCGCAGTGCTACATTTATTACAAGCAGTCTGTTATAGTTCTGTAATATATTATATTTATCTAAAAGGTTAATACGCTTACACTGTATCTCGAGCACCCAGCCGTCCCTTATCGGCGTGGTTTTCATGATTCGATTTTCAGCCCGGCACGACAGGTTTCTGCCGGCGTCTGTCTTCGACGCGGTGAAAGACAAGGTGCTGGTGGTCGTGTTCCCGTCGCTGGAGGTCTGTAACAATGTTATGATAACTTCGTTTCTGCTCTCTTTCGCCGGCGACCTTTGGCACTTCTATCGTTTGACATGCTGGCACCCGTTGTAATCACTGGACTTCGGACCTCTATGCAAATTCTAATTTTTCAGAATGCAATTGGAAACAGAAGTACGATGGAAAGTGGTTTTTTTCAAACAGATATTATAGAAAACACTACAGTTTGGATATTCTATATTGCCATTTGGATGTTTTTATTTCGCCATTGCCACGTTCAAGAACTCTTCACAATTTTCATACGAATGTATTTCAACAAGTACAATATTCCATATGTGAGAACAATTTAACACGTTGACTGGCATGGTGGTCACCGATGACCGGAGCTTCCAAATTGCTGAAGAAGAACATTAAAAACCTTGATTTTAAATAAAAATATTTGGTAACATAGTAGCTAGATCATAGCGTAATATGACTGCTGTAATACTAAATCATTAATAATTATTTTCAATATCATTTGCCTTTGTTATTAAAGAATAAGTATTACTATTGAAAACGCTAGAAATACTCGTGGCAATCAACGCGTTAATATATTGTCTAAACATCATCAACTCTTCGATCCCGTTTCCTCCACATTCATTAAAACATTCGCTACCAGCGTTTGTTTCAGTGGCGATCCTCTCAATTATAATATTCTATTCAAGTCAATAAATCTTCTAAACAAACTGAAACAAATGAAGCTGAAACGAGTCATTCAATCCCTAAATGTAATTTCGTAGCTTATAACTTTAACTAACTATATCTATAGGATTAATTTCATTTTCTTTATATAAAATATAGGTTTGTGACCGTCAGAAATATGTGATACTGGTAGCGAACGTGTTAATATGTAGACAAATAATTTCTAAAGGTGATCACGTTCAACATATCGGACGAAAAATTTTCAATAGTTTGTCCACTGACATTTCGGTGCCTAATCCCCCAGACGCTCCGACATTGTCATGATTGTAGTATCGTAGTTTTAAGGCAGTGGGGCAGCGAGTATTCTGAAAGATAGGAAGTGGGCCATAAAAAAGAAAGGGACTGATGGAGACCAGGCCCAAGGGTTGGCGAGTTTTCCCGAGTGACGCGTAAGCGAGAATGATGAGTGCGCGGTGGTGAGAGTAAGATGTGGTTGAGAATTTGTTGGAAGCGCGAGTGAGAAGAATGCTTGTGGGGAGAGAATGATTTTTAAGTGATGGAGAGAGTTTTTGAAGAGAGTTGCGTTGGCTTTGGAAGAGAGAAGACCTGTACACTGCGAGCTATATCATTTCTATTTATTTGTATCTTATTCGATTAACTATTCCTATGTTTTTTTTTCAAATATAACATAATTATTTTTATTAATACCACATAATGTATAGCGATCAGTTTACGAGACGTCTAGCAAGTCCTTGATTACGCAGCGCACGTTTCCCGGAATTCCCGGAAACGTCTGCCATCACGGAACCATATATTTCTTCGCCAGTCGTTATGGGCCGCCGTAGGCCGGAAGACGAGAGTGACTATGACGGACGCCGGTCCTTTCGGAATTCTATGATTTCATTATTTGCACGTCCCCGCGTGATGGCTCGACGAGGAGAAAGACAAAGGAAAAGAGGAAGAAGAGAGGCACCTCTTAATTAGTAATTTCTCCTCGGCAGAAGCTAGGAAACTTTCTCACCACTGTTTCCCATTATCTGAGCGATAATGTAGCAATATGTTATCGTTAGGTAAGGATGTATCGATGTATCGTGGCGAGTTGCCACGGTTCTGCTGTTGAAATTGCCGATGCTTCATTGAGTCTTCGACCACGTTCTTAATTGCGTTTTTTGTTGTTCCATTCTTGGCACAGCGATCTGGATCGTATAATTAGGAGGAAGGAAATGTGGAATTAAAGGTGAAAGAATATTAGTGTCAATGAATGTTTTGTGTACTGTTCACGCTACTTGAAGGCATACGGGCTTATGATATTAGATTAATTAACAGTGATGAAATGATATATCGTGGAACGAATACGCAGTGCGAATTTTCTAAATGTGATATAGTAATGTGATAATAGTCTAATAACGATAATAATATAATCAAAATGTAACTATATAATAATATAATAAAAGTATAACCATATAATCATAATACAATAAAAGTATAACGATATAATAATAATAATATAATAAAAGTATAACAATATAATAATAATAATACAATAAAAGTATAACAATATAATAATAATAATTATAACAACATACACGTTTCCCAATGCTACTATAAAACTACTATTACTCCATCAATTAAATTTTGATTAACTCCAATCCAGAACACAGAAATACAAAGAGAATAATCCTACCGTCAACAAAGAAGCGGTTCTATAACTTCCTTCCCTTAACACAACAATCTAGGTATCACGCGTCGGCATTCGAGTCGCGTAATGATTAACCGGCAAACAAAATGGTAATTTTATCGTCTGACATTCACCTTCCTCCCGGTCGGTACACCTTGTAAATTAGAAATTTTAATTCGCTCGTTGAAATTCCTTTCGCGTTAGCGTGCTACTTAATCAAGGTATAAATATTTGAGCCGCGGAGATTGAGCGGGACGGTGGACAGCGAAGGGAAGCAGCTGGATGAGGGAAACAGAGGAAATATTGTTCCCGAAGTCGATACTCCTCATTCCATAAGACTTTACCCGTGCCGCTTATATAAGAAAGTTAAACAAAAGAAGATGAGGCGTAAGAAGAAATACGGCGGGAAACTCCTATAATCTATAGGAGAACGTCGGAGGGAACGGGATCGTTCTTCTTCTTCCTCTTCTTTCTCTTTTTCTTCGTCGTCGTCGTTTTCTTCTTCCTCCTGTAATCTCACAGTTTCGAAAGTTTCGTGTCGCCCGTCCTGCTTTACGTCTAACACGCTCACAGAAACCACGCTTCTCAAGGTGAATGCTTCCTGTTTGATACAACGTTTTAGGCATGTCCGCGTTAAATGAGTATGGTGATGTAGGAATGGTTACTTCAGCAGGAAAGTGCAGTGATCGAAATCTATTTAACTATGTAACAATTATGAACATTGAAGATTCGTTAAAGTTTCCTGAGAATTATTCACGACCTACTCTAAATTTTCGTGAACGATATCGTAGATTTATTAAATCTTCGTAAAAGATATTAAAGATTTCACACGTTGAATGCCGTGGGTTACCGGTGACTCCAAACCAAATTGAATTATAGTTCACTCAATGAAACGACGATTATTTGGAAATATCTATATCATAAATAATGTTACCTAATTTCAGCTGGAAGAACGTGCAATAATAATAATGCATTTTGTGTATTTTGCTTTAAATCGTGCGACATTCAACATGTTAATTATTTATAAAGATTATTGAAGATTTATTAGATTTGAATAACGTTCAAGGGATTAGATTAACGTTACAAAATAATAGTGAAAAAACCGTGTATGATAAAACTCACGTATCCACGATACATTTTGTTTAACACTATTCTTACCGACACTCGACGTATACCTATTCCTACCGCGACCAGTCAAATGACTGGTCTTTGGCACAATTTATATTTTTTAATATAGAATGAAGATAATAGCTAATTTGACAGTAAATAAAAATAGTTTCTTTTATTTAGAAGTATATAATTTACATTTTATTCGTTTTCAGGGCATTTTTTACAAATAGGTTTGTCGATTGTACATTTCCCACACACGTACTTTTTACATTTTAGACAGATTTTGTTAGTCTTATTGTTTGTGCAATATTTTATTTGGTATGGTTTCCGTTCGCGTGAACCTGTACTTGTATTTGTGACGGGTGTTGCTTGATTTTTTTTGCCTAACTCTAGTTCTTTTTGATATTCAATGGCAAGTTTTTCTGCCAACTAAAATAAAAATTCTTGCCTTGAAATTTCTTCTCCCGTGGATTCTTTATATAAAATCCATGCATCTATCCCGGCTAAATCTGGGATATTGAAAAATACCTGTAAAGGCCATCTCCGACACTTAGATTTTACCGATTTTACCGATTTTACCGAGGCTGATAGGCGAACGAGGAGTGTAAACACTTGGAAGTACCGTAAAGCAGTCCTTGAAAGGCACTTTTTGGCTAAAATCATGCCACAACTGCATTACCTTTCGTTTGTAACGACTTTATAGTATCGGAATTGAGTTTTTGAGAGAATACTATTACAAAAAGATATAAATCGTTCTACCGGTCAAATGATCGGTCGTGGTAGGTAAGACAGACTACACATTTTTCTCAGAAAATAAACAATAAAAAAAGGTGTGAATATTGAAAGATGATTTATACATATATTTTAGGAAAAGTCGTGAAGTATAAATCCGATTCAATTACGTTGTCTATAGGAAATTCTAATCGAAATTTTAAAAGCAGTCATTTGACTGCTCGCGGTAGGAATAGTGTTAATTTCAATGTAAAGTTTCGACGAAACTCACGCATAGAATAAAAGCAAATAAATACATTCTTTCGTTAACGTTGTAAGTGTACGGGGCTTCCCAAACGCAAGGATAAAAATGAAAAAAACGCAATGATCCTCTCTACGGCGAACAACGAAACGACTCTCCGCTTAATCACCCTTAAATCGTCCGGCAATGTCCTTTCGGTTTTTCTTTTAACGCGACATCCGTCTGTCGCTAATTAATTGGCGAATCAATTTACCCTTAACTGCCCGGTCTGCTTTTGTACCGTAACTAGTATTCAATAGACGTATCACTGGAAGTCCTGAACGTTGCGTTTACGTGTAGCAAATGTTTGTAACATTTATTATATTAAAATGAAGTGAACGACTTAGTGCTATTATATTACTATCATCATCATCATCATCATCATCATCATCATCATCATCATCATCATCATCATCATTATTATTATTATTATTATTATTATTATTATTATTATTATTATTATTATTATTATTATTATTATTATTATTATATTACTTATTTTTTTAAATATTTGGGAGATATGTTACAATACATTATAACTATATACTGTAATATACTACAATAATATATTTTAACTACATTTTAACTGCTTCGATTACAATAAATTGTCAGATTCGTGACGAAAATGTTAAACAGAATTTGACAAATTTAACTGTCCTTCATTTGTTTAAAATATAAACTGAATATTATAAGTATTCCTTTCTTTCCTAATGAATGATTAACACGTTAAATGTCGCGTCGGTCACCGATGGCTTCTGAATTGCTTGACAAACTTACAATATTAAATATGACTGCTGTTGACTAGAAATATTCAATAAAATAAACAGTTAACGATAAAAGAATTCTGATGCCAAATAATTAATAATCTTATTTACCTTTGATACGAACGAACAAATCATGTATAAAACGTTCAAGATTATAGCTTAACGTGTTAACAATAAAGTAATTATATCGATCATAATTAACACGTTAAGCGCCATGTAAATCACTGGAGACTAACGCTTCTGAATGACTAGAGAACAATCGTAACATATAAGATAACCGATGTGAAATGAAAATGTTAATAACGTAACTAAGTTAATAATAGTGAAATGCAAACATTGTAACAAATAATTAATAATTGTTCCTACTTTTCTTTGCTAGAAAAGAAAAACTACGGGGAAACGCTTAAGATTTTCGTGGCGCTTTGTTAAGAAATAAATGATAGGGCGACAATTAGTATACTGCAGTAACAAACTTAAACTATGCACTGTAATACACTATAATATACTGTAACTATTATTATTTACTTAGAAACACGATTCCCGCAATGAAATCAATACGAAGATACGTCTGTCGGACGCTACTGGTGGAACTCGCGACATAATCGCGCCGATTTAAATTATTCCCACTCTAATGGCGTTTTCAGCGCGGCACGAGCCCGCGATAACGATATCCCCGCACGGCTTCGCATCGCGGGGAACGGACGAACGCGACGCGGCTCCTTCGCGATGCCCGCCGACGGGATTACAAATTACGTGGAGTGCACGCGCCGACGATGGTAAATCGAATCTCATTGGTAACTCCCGTCCCTTCCATTCGCCCGCGGCCGGACTGTCCGAGGAAGCGTGTCTGGGATATTTTAGCGACCCATTCATAACTGGACTGCGGATTTTATGCGCGGCACCGTTCGCGAAACGTGCGGCACATGATAAAACAAATAATTTGACGCGTTAAGCGCCGCACCGCTCGTGGATGATGACAGATTTCGCTCTTCTGTTGGCAACCGAAATGTCTGCGTTCACCGAACTTCTAGTATTACGATATGTTTTCGTGGATTACCTATTTTCGAAGTAGAAATCGATGTAGAAGTGTTTGAGAGATGAAGATGGGATTTGTTACATTTTTGTGAGAGGAGGATCATATAGCGCGGAAGAAGGGTTGGCAACGTAAGGGGTGCAACGTAACGTTTTCTTGTTGCAAGTGTTAACGTAAATATTTCGATGTTTGAAGATTTAAATGATAATTTTCCAGGGGAGGAGGAGGTTTCATTGATATTTGTAATTGAAATAATTGTGAAATAGGTTTTTAAATTCTATACTTTATGTATTTGTCGATAAGATTGCTTGAAAATTCGAAATAACAGGGAATTGTATCAACCGTAACGAAGCGATTATTTTATTTAAAACTCGATGGAACCATTAACTTGGTAAATAAATGCCCGCGGATCTTTCTCAGCTGGTTGATCCATGGAAATCCATATTTCCATTTCCACGTGTAATCTATTTATGATTTAATTAGAGAGTTGATGTGGTCATATTTACTTTCGACTGAAAATATTGACAACAGCCAAATAGCGTTTCATTTCAACATATGTGGAAAGGGTAACATCCATTTTTGGTGAACTGCATATAAAAGTATATAAAAAGCACTGAAAATGTACACAAATTAGCTAAATGTTTTGTGCACATCAAAATATAGAAAAATATATTTGTACTTTGAGAATATTAAAATATATAAGAAAACATATTTTATAAATATCAAAACGTATAAAATGTATGAATATCAAAATATATATATATAAGATATATAAAAAAGCACGTGTATTTTATAAATAAAAAGCGTATAAAATGTATATTACGTGAATATGAAAATATGTAAATGCATTTTAGTAGAATGCAACTGAAATGCACTTTACGAGTGAAATGCAACCGAATCTTTTCGTGGTCTTCAACGTGTCAAGAAGGAGGGGGGGGGGCAACTTTGATTCACGCCCAGCAGTTTTACTTACAATCTCCTTGGAGCTATCCAAACGTTGCCCGTCCCTCCACCAGGTCACCGTGGCCGGCGGCATGGAACCGGAAGTCGTGCACACAAGCTCGTACCTCATGCCCGCTGACAGCGGTTGGTTCGCTCCGATTATCTTGACGTCGAGCGGGCTGACTGCAAGAACGTTCGTTCACGTGGTATCAGTGTCACGCCCGGACGAAAATGTATGAACGGAAATAGCTACTTCGAATGGCCGGGTGAACCGATGACGAAGAGGCTGTTATTATCAACACTTTGCTCGCTGTAGATTATTTAACACTGGAACTACTACGTTTGTCGAAACGACTATTTCTGAATTCCTCGATTCGCGAATAGTAACATTGATATTTAAAACGTTTATAATTCCCTTATAGTTTATTTTTATATGGATATTAATGATGAAATAGAAAATTTTTATAGTTATCTTATAGTTGAGTATTATACGAATTTTGAAACATGAAACTTTTATAGTTATCTTATAGTTCAGTATTATACGAATAATAGTAATGAAATGTGAAACTCTTATAGTTATCTTATAGTTGAGTATTATACGAATTTTGAAACTTGAAACTTTTATAGTTATATTATAGTTCAGTATTGTACGAATAATAATAATAAAATTTAAAAACTTGTAGTTATCTTATAGTTCATTACTATAGAGGTATTAGTAACGAGATTGAATACTTGTACAGTTACTTTATAGTTTATTACTATAAAAATGCTAACGACGAAATTAATAGTTGTCATTTTTACATATTTTACAAAATAATAGTTCTTTTTTAAATTAAAATAGAATGTACATCTCTTGCGTTATTAGTTTATTATCTCAAGAGCAAAGTGTTAAGGTATGAACAGGGAAGATGACAGAGATAACAGTTGGAAGGATCGTAGCAGTAGAAGATGAGACTCGGAAAGCAACAGTGTGTGGATGGGCCAGGAGAATAGGTCAGTGTATTATTGGACGCTGCATGGTTGGATAAGTAGATTAAGGTAGCCCGTAGACGAACAAGTGGAAGTGGAAGTCCGTGTAGTCAGATGGCTAGAGTAGATAAGAGAGTATCCAAACAAGTGGAATAGAAGTACTCGGATAAGTAGAATTGGACGACCGCGGTCAGACGAAAAAAAGTTTCGTTCTCGAGAACAGTGGCGGGTTCGTACGAGACATTAGATAACATGTCGTCGAGATAAATAATTTTTGTTAGTTCGGAAATACAAACGGTGTTTCAAAATGTTATAACAAAATTATTATCAATATAACGTTATACACATATTAGTCGAATAATTAAATACGCAATTTCCGATTTCATTATAAAATTCGTGAAAACATGTGACAGTCAATAGAAGTTTTATTCATAGAAATACAAAGTATAAATCAACAGAAATTTCACCACGGCCGTCGCAGTTTTATTAATTTTCTCAATTGTTCCGGACTTATACGAAAAAATACCGGACGCGTTACACGTATTTCTCTTTCCTGAATAATGTTTTGAATATAAAATTAAATCGGGGGCCATGGGAAGGTTAATTAAACAGTGGAATTTACAAACAATAACGCACGCTTTCAATTTATTCGGAATTATTTGTATAGTGGCTCGGTCGTCCCTAGTTTATTTACCATGTTGTCCCTTCTATAGTATTCTCATTTCCGTTAATATTTCATTACCTTCATTATTATTATTATTGTTATCAGTATACGAAATATGGCATACAAGAATAATACTTGTTAATTGAAATTATTAATTTCCAGGAACCACAGACGAAATCCAAAGATTCGACTCTCCGCAAAAATTATGTTCCGAAAATGTTCCAAGCGAAATTGAGGAGGAACTTTGCTAAAATTCTTCAAGTTTGCTCGAATATTATTACGCGAACGAAACGATTGCATTTGATATGTGTCTCCATTTTCCGTTTTCCCCACGGAGTCCATAGACGAGACGCATCAACGAGAAAACCGCAGAAGTTCGCCCGATCAGTCGACCAGCACGGAGGTGCTGCTTCCGCGATTCGTTGAAAGGGTCTTAAGCCTTCTGGGGCGTGTCTCCGAGAGAAATCTCGAAGGGCACTCGATCACGGGAACACACGTAAACACACGTAAATGCCCGTGGATCAAAGATGCTGCGGAAAGATCGCGTGAATCGCAAGAAAGGCGAGTCGTGGCGAAATAAATGCGACCGGAAATGTGTGCTCGCTGTCCAGAAACCCTGAATATTGTTAAGATGGGTGATATATCCGTGACACACGACATAGGTACATTTGTTACTTATGTCCACCATTTACGAGTTTCTGTTATTTATAGTATTATTATTATTAGTAGTAGTGTGGGATGAATGGTTTGTTGTGCGTGCGTGCCTAAAGGCGACCAGGTCATGTTGCGACGGACCGGCGTCGCGATGTTTGGAAAATAGTGTGGCTGCGTTTAGAAAATCTTGAGTGGGCCGTGAAAAAAGCGTGTACGTTACTGCGTGAATTTTGACTGTGGACGAAAGATGCGAGTGAGAAGGGTGCAGGTGTAAGAAAGACAGAGCGAATGGGGGTGTGCATTAAAAGTGAGTGGGAATGCGTGCGCGAGAAACATTTTGGTGTGTAATGTTCGAGCGAGACTTTTGAGTGAGACGTTAGTGCGAGACTTTTGGGGCGAGACTTTGCGTAATAGGCGAGCGAGCATTTAGTAATCTGTATAGACCTTGCGACTTGTAAGGGAATATCTTACAACATTGAAGACTCGTACGGGATAATTCCTACAGTAGTAGTAGCAGTAGCAGTAGCAGTAGCAGTAGCAGTAGCAGTAGTAGTAGTAGTATTATTAGTAGTATTATTAGTAGTAGTAGTATTAGTAGTATTATTATTAGTAGTAGTAGTATTAGTAGTATTATTATTATTAGTAGTAGTATTAGTAGTATTATTATTAGTAGTAGTAGTAGTATTAGATGTGATGCATGTAACGAATTGTGTTTTCGTTGTATCACGATTTACCGCGCGAATTTTGACACTTGTTCGCCAAATTAATATTGGACATTTAGATCGATAGCATTAAATCCCGACTGATGGACTGTAGTTCCCTAAATTTAAAGGAGTATTCGCGTTGTCTCGAACGATGGATTCGTGATTACTAAGAGCGTATGATTATGAGTCTCGTATGAGTGACTCGATTGAACTTGTGTATATTCCGAACGATGGATTTGTGGCGAAGTATTGCGATAAAAAGTGTGTAAAAAAGAGTGTCCCGAGTGCGATCCTGTACGTGTTGTTATACAGCATCTTCAGGTCGCATCGAGCGTGCTGATTGGGTATTTTCGACTTTCTCATCAGCGCATAATTCCAAAAAATCGGAGACGTTTTGGACGATGCCCTTTGGTCAGCCCTCTTGGTACGAGGGTGAGTGCAATGGCCACGTGCGAGGGATCCTCGATGTGCGGATGCCTTGGAAATTTCCTCCAGGTTGACTCTTGTCTGAAGGAACCGTTGCGAACGAAATTCGAGTCGACCCTTTGGAAATTCCCGGTTTACGATATGGTCGGTTGTCTGGACGAGCGAAGTGAAAATTCCAAAACTATTGTCTGGAAACACGCGGAGCGACTAAATGACTTTACTATGATTTAGGGTGAAATTGCCCCTTTTACCAAACAAATCAATTTAGTAATGCGAAACCTAGAATAAACATTCCTAAATACTAAAGCACACCGTATTTCTCCCTAAAAGTAAAACTAAGCTAAAAGAAATCGAAGGATATCTGCACAATTCCAAAATATTCAATTTAATCTCTCGGCACTCCCACCGTTAAAACACTGCAACCCGCGCACGGTATACGAAAAGTCACGGTATACGAATTCCCGAGGAAAGACGCGTGTGAAGTAGCGAAGGAACAGTTTCCTCAATAATTTGGCCGGCTCGGCGAGCGCGGACATGATGTATCGCTTTATAACGAAGAGAATTTATCAATGTCAATTTGTCGCGGCTCGCGCGCCGTTGCAGGAGGCGAAAGAAAGCAGAAGCGAGGAAAGAAAACGGCGGAAACGCGAGCCGGGACGGTTAATTTTCTTTCAGGCGACGTTATCACGGTAAGACGCGATCATTTGCCGGGGATTAATTATGAAAATTCTTCGGTTTGTCCCGAAGCGCGCCGGCCAGAGGGCATTGTCCGCCGGGGACGCGCGGCGGAAGGGGATTAAATCGTGGCTGAGCTGCACGTGACTCGGACGGATTTTTCACCGCGCCGTTTCCCTTTGTAACGCAACGCAATTACGCTCGGCAAGAAGCCGGAGGACGGCGTGTATTGTTGCCGCGGGGCTCGCATTGTTGCGACGTGGGTGTTCCGCAGCGAAGGAATTTATGAGCGATCCGGAGGAATGGAACACGCTTTCTTCGCGTGTATGATGGAACGGGGATTTCAAAGTGGCGACAAACGGGGAACGAGCTCTGCGGCGCGATGGAAATGATGTTTATTGGCTCGACGTGAATTGCGATTCATTGACAGATCTTTTGGGAGAAATTTGTACGTCTTGAATGTCGAAGGTATCGTTCTCGTTGTTACAGTTGGAAGAATTTGGAGTTATCGAAGAGTTTTTGAGTGTTTTTGTACTTGTTTCTTATGAAATGCTGAATTTCATTCGGAATATCGAGTTTGGGGTTTTATATTTAGAAAACTATGATACGATCGTTATGAAAAATGATGTTGTTGAAGTAGGTAGAGGAGTAATACTTCAAGTAGTACAAGACGTGGTACTCTCAGACAAAGTGCACTACGATGAGGTGAGTGGTATAAATTACAGACTTGTCAGACAAGTAGTATAAATCAACGTCCCACGTGGCAAGTACTACAAATTCCGTTTGGTCGGGCAAGTAGTCTAAATCAATGTAGATTTCTCCAAGTGATACAAGTTCGCATATGATCCGACAAGTGGCACAACCCGAGTTCAGTCGCGCAAGTGGTACAAGTGCGTGTGGGATCAGACAAAGCTGTATTAAATTGCGGATATCATAAATGTGTAACGTGTACGGATGTGGTTCATTATAAATAATAAAGTACTTAGTATATCTCGATCCTTTTGCTTGGTAAGTCAGTTCTACCCAACAGCGGACCTGCAGAAGTATTTATACTTCCATTTCATATAATTCTAGTACTAATATTGCTAGTG